TGCCGATTACCCTTGCAAACACCATACTTTGGAAGTTCCAGTTACTGATTAATGCACACATTTGGAAAAGAAAACCACCAAGAATTGCACAAGACCAACTTTGGCTTCAATTTGCTAAAGGTGGCTTAGGCGTCCCAAATGTTAAAATCTATTATAAGGCTACAATACTTGCTCAAGGTCTTTCGACACTATAAATGGTTTCTCCTCCGTTATGGCTACCACTAGAAAGCGCACAGTTCTCACAAGGCCTATACTATGGTCGGGGAATATAGTACTCAACAAGGCAAAAGATCTGCTCCCATCTACCAAAACTCTTTTGTATATTTGGAGAGAGTTCATATCTAGACTTTCAATAGGACAATATTTACTATTTGCTGCACCTCTGCAGACTCTGAATGTTTTTACATCAGATCTGCAGCTGGATCTCTGGGCACTCTTAGGTGTAGGTCACATATGGTCACTATACAATGACTTAGGTATTAAACCATTTCCCGACTTAAAGAATATTAACCCCTTAAGGACGGAGGGCGTACTATTATGCCCTGCAGGAGCCGGCTCTAAACGCCGGCGGGCGTAATAGTACGCCCTCACTTTAATGGCCGCCCGTGTGGCCGGCGCTATTCGCCCGCTGCAGATCGCGGTCGGGGGGGATGCCCGGCCCCCCAGGCAACCCCCCCTGTGGCCGGTGACCGCGATCTGCAGTCACTGATCGCAGTGACAGGCTGTCACTGCGATCAGTTTTTTAACGTGTGTCAGCCGATTTCAAATCGGCTGACACACGTGGCCAGCGGCTACCCCGTGCAGATCGCGGTCGGGGGACTTACCTGGCCCCCCAGGCAGTCCCCCTGGGGTCAGTGACCGCGATCTGCTAAGTCTGAGATCGCAGTGACAGGCTGTCACTGCGATCTCAGAGCGCTCTGATCGCAGTGACAGCCTGTCACTGCGATCAGTGTTACATGTGTCAGCCTATTGGCTGACACATGTAACTGGCACAAAGATCCCCCTGCAGATTGGAAGGGGGGAGTGCTTGTACCACCCAGGCACTCCCCCCTGTGGCCAATTACCCAATCTGCAGGAGGTGATCACAGTGACAGGCAGTCACTGTGATCACTGATCCTGTGTGTCAGCCAGAGATGTAAAATCACTGGCTGACACTGTCTCTGCCCCCTGTCCTGTAAAAAAAAAAAAATATTAGTTAAAAAAAAAATTACAGTTACATATAAAATATACTTAGATCATATATATTATATATATATATGATCTAAGTATATATATATATATATATATATATATATATATATACACACACACACACACACACACACACACATTTACACATACACGAAGTGTATTTAAATATTAATATATATAATTATTTATATATATTACTATCAAATTACACGTAGACTAATACTGATTAATATATATATATATATAATTATTGTTATATATATATATTTATATATAATATAAAAAAATGTAAATACGTAAAAAAAATAAAATTAAAAAAATAATTAAAAATAAATAATAAAAAAATATATAGATGTTTGTTATTTCGTTCTAACTGTATTGTGATATTAATATATATATATATTTATATCAAAATACACGTAGAACGAAATAATATATATATCTATATACATAAATATATACATATATATCACTAAATATATACACCTATATATAAATAAAAATATTTAAAAAAATAATATATATATATATATATATGTATATATACACATATGTATATATATATATATATATATACATATATTAATTCTACATATATATTTATGTAATATTTTTACATAATTAGGTATCTTAATTAATTACAATTAGCTGGACCTGCCTGACAACCCATGCCGAAAATAAAGGGAATTTAATTTGCTAGCACTATATTTAGCCCTATAACTTTCCAAGACACCATAAAACCTGTACATGGGGGGTACTGTTCTACTCGGGAGACTTCGCTGAACACAAATATTAGTGTTTCAAAATAGTAAAATGTATTACAACGATGATATCGCCAGTAAAAGTGAAGTTTTTTGCATTTTTCACGCACAAACAGCACTTACACGGATGATATTATTGCTGCAATACTTTTTACTGTTTTGAAACACAAATATTTGTGTTCAGCGAAGTCTCCCGAGTATAACAATACCCCTCATGTACAGGTTTTATGGTGTTTTCAAAAGTTACAGCGTCAAATATAAGGCTTGTGTTTCATTTTTTTCACATTAAAATTCGCCAGATTGGTTACGTTGCCTTCGTGACCCTATGGTAGCCCAAGAATGAAAATTACCCCTATGATGGCATACCATTTGCAATAGTAGACAACCCAAGGTATTGCAAACAGGGTATGTCCAGTCTTTAGTAGCCACTTAGTCACAAACACTGGCCAAAATTGGCGTTTTTTTGCATTTTTCACACAAACAGATACTAACGCTAACTTTGGCCAGTGTTTGTGACCAAATGGCTACTAAAAAATGACATACCCCATTTGCAATACCTTGGGTTGTCTACTATTACAAATGGTATGCCATTATGGGTGTAAATTTCATTCCCGGGCTACTATACAGTCTCAAAGGCAACATAACCAATCTGGCGAATTTCAATTTCAAATGTAACGTGCTATATTTGACCCTGTAACTTCCCAAAACGCCATAAAACCTGTACGTAGGGGGTACTGTTTTACACGTGAGACTTTGCTGAATACAAATATGTGTATTTTATTGCAGTAAAAGAAAACAGTATTATGACATTGACAGTTAAAATGTCATGTAGAACTAAAAAAATAAAAAAATAATCGTATTTTCTCCCATTTTTTTCATATTAAATTATGTTTCATAGCTAAATATTTGATATTAAATGAAAGCCCTGTTTCTCCTGAATAAAATGATATATAATAAGGGTGGGTGCATTTACTATGAAAGAGGTGTATTACGGTTGGACAGACATGTAGCGCAAATGCCAGGTTTTGTTTACATTTTGTTTCGTTCACAACGTGTACATTTGGCTCCGTCCTTAAGGGGTTAAAGAATATTCTCTACCACCGAGGGAAATATTTACATACCTTCGGATTAGGAACATTTTACAAATAAACACAATTAAAAAAATTCAGCCACTAGCACCATTTGCCCTAAAATGCACGGGGAGACTGCCTAACATTAAAATATTGTCCTTTTGCTACAATAATCTTCTATCACAAGGGGAACCTAAGAAACAGGAATATGCTTTAAAATGGGAAAGAGATTTGGGGGAATCATTCCCGTTGGCAATCTGGTTCCAGGCACAAAAGTCAACTAAAGAGGTTTCCTACAGTCTTAATCATTGGGAAATTTACTGCAAAATCAGTATGCGATGGTACTTGGTGCCAGCTAAATTAGCACATATTTATCCGGGGACGAGCAATTTATGCTGGAATTTTTTAAAACATGTGAGGTCTATATTGCATATCTTTTGGCTCTGCCCGAGCATTACCAAACTGTGGGAGGAGGTAAATACATTTTTAAGGGTAGCTTAGAAGGTTAATATTCCATTTAGACCAGAATGTTTTTTACTCCATATATTCCCCACAGAGCTCCAGGAGGAAAAATATATGGTTATCCACTGTTTAACAGCAACAAAGATTACCATTGCATAAAAATGGAAACATACACAAGCACCAATAATATCAGAGGTCCTGAGTATATTTGATTCTTTTAGCATGTATGAAAAAATGGCAAGTCGAGTAAAGGGTAGAGAGGAATTATATAAACGTACATGGCTTCAGTGGCTGGAGATAAGAGATCAGTACGCGTTAATGATAAACAATGCCACATAGACCTTCCTTTTCTTTTCTTTCTTTTTCTCTCTTTCTGGGATTGCATTATATGTAAGAGAATTAACGATATGGTATATGGTGTTAATGTATATTGTATAGGTACTTTTGTAAAATGATATGCATGTTTTCCCCTTCCCCTGTTTCCTTTCTGTATCCTATTTATTTGATGATCTTTGGTCATATTTATAATGACCGATGTTATCACACAAAATTTCAAGATATTAAAAAAAAAAGATGGTGGCCTTGTCTTGGCCACTTTGAAATGTTATTAGTAGGTCGCTAGTGGCTGAATCTGCAGCTGATGGA